GATGCTGAGCTGTGTAGGGAGAGATTGGTGCAGATATTTATGGCATTTCATTTGAGTGCGGTAAATGCCTTTTAATTTTTTTTTTTTTAAATTAAATCCTCATAATCACCAATGTTTTGTGGTGTAGAGGCTTTAAAAAAGGAGGGGGGAACCTTCCCCAAGCCCTTAAGATCTGCTTATATATTGCTGTTTTTCTTCTCTTTTTTTTTTTTTTTTAATTACTGCTCTGTTGGAGATAAAAATACGATGCTTTCTTGCCATATTCACCCTCTTTGCTTCCCAGCATTCTTTCGTCAGTTGTAATCCCCACAGTCTTTTCAGTTAAGCTTTAACACTGCAGAACTGGAATAAAAATAGGCTGTTTAGAGCATCAGGAATATGATAATCCAAGGCAGTGAGCCTTAAGGATATGCAGATCCAGCACATGAGCCAAGCACTAACGTATTTGCTAGGGTGTTTACCTTGAGCAGCCCCTTAATAGTCCAAGAAATGTTAGCTAAATGTTTCTCGCTTCTTACATGCCACAGGCAAAGTAAAATGTGCAGCTACTGCGCATCATCTGAGGTAAAGTAGTTTAAGGGCTTAGAAGTCTGAGCAAGCAAGTTGCGGTAACATCAGTGTCTTGGGTAATTCTGAGCTATGGTAGACAGCAAAGTACAACACTAGTTTCTGCATGCTTTTTAGGTGAGGAGAAAGTGTTTTCTACCTCTAAATTTACTGTAAAGGAAAGAAATCTCCATGGTTGAAATGAAAACTGAGCATGCTAAATTGGCATTAAGCTTATGACGGGCATGTTAAAAAAAAAACCAAAACCCAACCAACAAAAACCTCTGCAATTGTGCCCGTATGCCTTAGTCGAGTGAAGTCCAAATATTTCAAGGTGGAAAAATCCATTTGCTGTCTTTTCAGATGAGTTATTTAAGCTTAAGGTTTTCTTAAAGTCTTGGTTAAGGCTTTAGTCCCTACAAAATGAAAACTTACTAGGAACAAAACTGTAGGCAGTTTCAGTAAAAGATTGATAACCCATAGCCAGTACTCTGGAGTAGAGGAATAATGCAAGTGTCCTTTGGAGCTGTCCTAGACTCCTGAGGGTCTAAGCACAAACATGAAAGAAATAGCTATGTCTCTCTGCTGCTTTGTCTGGAGTTGCAGAATATTGTCCATGGTGTAGAAACCCTCCATGCAGCATAGTTACCTGAGGAACCAGTTCTGCTGGTCTAGCCTTTCAGACAATGTGTATTGAATTTTGGGTTTGTTTTTGGGTTTATGGTGTTTGTGGAAAACCAGGGAACTGGCCAATGGCTAGAAGAGGATTTCCTTAGTTTTCTTTTGCTTGTAATCTGTGGGTACAGAGACTGTCCTGGTTGAACACTTAAGTTAGTGAACTGGAGTGACCTGTTGCTGACAGGCATTTGACTAAATGCATTTTTTAAAAATCCCCAGTGGGGAATAGTCCACAGGCAGTCCTGTGTGCCTCTTCGTGGTTGTTTTGTTTGCAAAACTTTCTACCATCTAAAGCAAACCTCTCACTGTAATTCTGGCAAGCTTATTTGTGCCCCTGCTAGACTTTGTGTTTTGAGGACTGCTACCATGTCTCCCCTCAGTTCTGCAGACTAAACAGTGTCCTTCAGTTTAGTCCTTCCTCACAGCTCGTGACATGTAAACACCTGGCCATCTTTGTCCCTTGAGTGTTCTGTTTGGTGTGTCCTGGATCAGTTTTGAAGGGTAGTGTCTGTAGCTAGTTACCACAGTGGCACAGAAGTCTCAGTATTGCTGGCTGGAATCGAAAACCTGTGATGTTTACATACATATACATACATATATGATGCCCTTATTTACAAGTCCTATCTTACTTGATGACACCAGTATGATACCTTCACGTTTTAGCTCTGAAGTGCACAACTGTCTTGATCAAGCTCAGAACCTGAGACCAAAGGATATGAAACATTTAGGTATTTTTGCAGAGGAAGAGAAATGATGGTCTCCCTGTTGGGCACTAATGACAGCTTCTGTTGCCTTCTGTAGAGGAATTGTGTCCCTTTTGCACAGAGGAAGAACAATATATTTTAGAAGAGACTGCCACATGTACACCAGAGCTTGCTCTTGTAAGATTTCCCTGAAACTATAAATAATTAAGAAGCTTATTTTACCTTCTAAATAGCTCAAACTGTTGCTTTTAAGGAACACGAGTGCTGTGTTGTAGCAGGCTATTTGGGTTGTCTTACTTAACAGCACTTCTGGGCTTCAACAGTGACAGAGAAATAAGTGCTTCCCACTTACCCCAGAAGAGGTACTTTCTTCAGAAATTAGATTTTTAAAAAAGCACATGAATCCAGAGAGACTGAGAAGGATCATACAGACAATTAGTTAAAGCGTGGGTACAAAACCACCCAGTTTTTGTAAGATGAACAGGATTGGCCCAAAAGGGACCAATTCTGTGTTGTATGGGTCAAAATGGAATATAAGGTCATAAATAAAATGCTTCCTAAATCTTCCTTATTAAAAAAGGGAGAAGTTTAGGATCTGGTCACAGAAATTTAATGAAGTAGAGAGGAGGGACAAGCTGGTGATGTGCTGCTTTGCAACATTGACTGTAATCACTTACCTTGGGGACCATTTCAAACATCATGCGTGTACAGAGTTAACATGACAAAATGTGCTTTCTTACAAAATGCTGCTTCTGTCAGGCAGCAGAAGAGACACAGTTGAGAGCTTTATCTCCCATTCTGCTTACAGAAGGGACATAAGAAAAGTTGCATGTAAATAGTGTTGGGGCGTTTTGGTGGGTCTTTCTGTATGGTGCTTTTTGGGAGGTTGGGAAATCTTTGGGGTTTTTTTGGTTGGGTTTTTTCTTTTAACTGGTAATTGTACCTACTCTTATTAGCTTGATACTACTCCCCTCTGTTGGAACAAAAAGTGAAAGTGGGATTTGGAATGCCTAAAAGCAGCAGGATCCAACTGATAGTTTTTATTACTGATGGAAAAGGCTAATTCCAGTATCCTGTTTTCTACTGAGGCTTGCTAACAGCCCATGCTGTTTGTGTGAAGCTAGTCAAAGTGATGACTTGTTCATTAATGTATTTTAAAAGCTTAGTTTATTTTCTTGCAACCTTTTACAGTAAGGTTATCTTAATTCCTGTAATCATAACATAATCAAACTGTATTCCAAAGGTAAATGTTATACAGTGCATTCATTAAATGTAGAAGCTGAGCTTATCTGAATTTCTGACTAATTATCGTGCCTCTTCCTTTTTTTCAGGGTTTCGCAAAAATGATGAAATGAAGGCTATGGAAGTATTGCCAATTTTAAAGGAAAAAGTTGCATACCTTTCAGGTACAGTTATTTTCTTCTGTTGTGGAATTCATAACTGTATTGTTAGTCATGTATAAAATGGTATTTTAAATACTTTAAATATCATTACAAAAGTCATGGAAAGCTAGGATAGCACCTATTCCAGTTGGATATCTCAAACATAACATGAGCATTGTGAAAGGATCTGAAATAAAGAAGATACGTGTTTTGTGGAATGTGGAACATGCTGTTTGTTGTTGTCATGGTTGTGTCCTGTCTTCCCCCTACCCCCCCCCCGCATATCCGGCAGCGTTATTTAGAACAACCTGGTGTACCATAATCATATTCCTTCTCTTATTTCTGGTTCTTGTGCTGGAGAGTTTTACAGCAACAGCTTTGTTACTGGCCCAGCTGAAGCACTGGAGAAATATCTTTGTTGCAGAGGTGAAATTTCGGTGCATGTCTTTGAAGCACACTTAATATCTTCATGGTGAAATGAGTTAGCATCTAATTTTAGCTAACTCCAGTGTACACCTTGAAGTTGGTTCGTTATTTAATGAGGAATAGCAGAGGATTTAAAAGTGGAGTTTAGATGAATTAATATCATAACATACTCTCTAACTTGGTAAGTAACTTTACTTGATGGAATGATGGCTGAGGTGCTTATTCTTGTGAACTGCATTTTGGTGTGACTTTCTGCAGTGAGTACTTCCAAATCTGTTGAGATTAAACAGCATCATTCTCTTTGCCATAATCTTAGTGTCAAATGATGTAGAGGACAGTCTCATATTTGAAAGGTTGGGGTTTTTTTATAAATACTTTGTCAAGAACTCCAAAAATAAAGCTCTTATCTGTAAATACTAAAACATACAAAACAATCCCTGAAATTGCACTCTTTAGATATTCGTTCTGCATGGATGCTGATGCTAGCAAAACCGGTGTGTAGTTCACAGTACTTCATCCTGTCCACTCTGCTGAGTCCAGCAGAGGTATAAAGCAAAAAAGATGTGGGGTTTCTTTTTGGTTTTGGTTTGGGATTTTTTTTTTTTTTAAAGGTCCTGACAACTATAATGAATGATATAACAGACTGCCCAGAGGCGATTTCCCTGGTAGTATGGGAACTCCCGATTCTTCTGCTTATGAATTGTAGTGCTGATGAAAAGTTGCTTAAAACTGTATTTTTCAGAGGGAAATGAGAGGAGAAAATGGAGTTAAATGCAATATTTCAATTCCTCATTATTCTTTTTTGGACCTTTTTTTATGGCATTTAATGAAAACACAGTTTCTGTTCCGAAACCTCTGAATTTCCAGGTTTTCCAGAACTTCGTTTATACCCCTTAGAAGGGTTCTGAAAGATGCTAGGTGTTCTCTAATGTTAGTTTGTAAGCATCCAGTGTTCTCAAAAGGCCCAAAAAGTGGGCCAAATGAAAGCTGAAGGCAAATTTAAGGGGAGATTATGGTTTATGAATCAGAGGAAATGAGGTCCAGGCAAGAAGTGTTTACCAACTAGCCTGTGTGAGGGTAGCAACTTCTGACAGAAGAATGGAGCAAACAGCTGTGGGCAATGAGACTGGCCAAAATCCGTAGTTTCGCATTTCCATTGTAAGTGGAGCTCAAATGAAATGAGATACATTAGTAGTGCAAGCAAACAACAACCCACAAAAAACCAACCAACCAACCAAAAAACCCTAACAAAACTACCATCATCATGAAGGCTTAACCATTGTGGAACTAGAACTGTCAAGCTTTATACCTGGGAACACAAAGGTAAGGAAGACTGTTGGATTACTGACAGAAGTTTTCAATGTATCTCTTTTTTTTACTTTTTTTTTTTCCTTCAAAAGTACAACTTTTGCTCAAGTACTTGGTTTTAATATTTATAAGTACAATAACTGGTTAAGGTCTGTAGAAGTAGAAAAAATTTTTTGGGGATATCTCTACTAAACCTTTATCTAAAGATAACTCTAAGTTATCTCTACTAAAAACTCTAATAGTCCCATTAAGCCTAAAGCACCCAGAAACATCACTATAATTTTTGTATTTTGTTCTCCATAATTTATATTTGAGTTCTGGTAGAGTTGCTGCAACATGTTCATTGTTGATTGTCAAGTACCTTCTCAAGTAGAAATAAAGTATGACAATCAACAGTGCAAAGAAATGTGCTTTTTTATAGAGCAGGAAAGTTACACAAATAACACAATCTGAAAAAAAATCATGGAGTGTTTGAGATCCTCAGTTCACTTCCCCAGTCTTTTCTCTGCCTTTCTCTACTGAGACCTTCCTTCTCCATGTTAAATGAATAGGTATGAGCTGTATAGCAGTATATTCATCTTTGAGTACTAAAGTACATCTTTTAGAGTACTAAAGGCACTGATCTTTCCGCAATGCTGACTTTCATAAGCACTTCTTGAGACCAGCTTATTGTGAGATGGATATATAAGGTGAACCATCTCACAGAAGAGACCTGGGTGGACTGGAAGGATGGGCTAGCAAGAACAGTATGATGTTTAATAGAGACAAGTGCAGAGTCCTGCACCTGGGTTGGAATAACCAAAGAGCCCAGTACAGACTAGGGTCTGTGTGGCTGAGGAGCAGCCTTGCTGAAAGGGACCTGGGGGTCCTGGTGGACAAAAAGCTGAATGCAAGTCAGCAGTGTGCTGCTGCAGTAACAGAGGCAAATCGGATCCTGCGCTGCATCCACAGGAGCATTACCAGCAGAAATAGAGACAGGATAGCTTCATTCTACTCAGTGCTTTTCAGGCTGCATCTGGAATACTCTGTCCAGTTCTGGTCCCCACAGTTAAAGACAGACACAGGCTGTAGAGGCCACACAGGAGGGCCATGAGGATGATCAAAGGCCCCAAGAACCCACCCTATAAGGAAAGATTGAAGGAATTAGGTCGTTCCTCTCTGGAGAGGAGAAGGCTCAGGAGATACCGCATCACAGTATTCAAGTATGTAAAGGGCAACTACCAGGAGGACAAAAGCTCTCTCTTCACGAGGAGCCACGTGGAGAAGACAAGGGGCAATGAGTACAAGTTATACCAGGAGAGGTTTCATTTAAATACAAGAAAGAATTTTTTTTTTTTTTTTTACAGTGATAACAGTCATTCCCTGAGAGAGGATCTCATCAACACTTTTAAATATCTAAAGGGCAGGTGTCAAGAGGATGGGGCCAGACTCTTTTCAGTGGTGCCCAGTGACAGGACAAAGGGCAACGGGCACAAACTGGAACACAACAAGCTCCACCTGAACATGAGGAGAAACTTCTTTACTCTGAGGGTGACCGAGCACTGGAACAGGCTGCCCAGAGAGGTTGTGGAGTCTCCTTCTCTGGAGATACTCAAAACCTGCCTGGATGCAATCCTGTACAACCTGCTCTAGGTGATCCTGCTTTAGCAGGGGGGTTGGACTAGATGATCTCCAGAGGTCCCTTCCAACCCCTACCATTCTTTGATTCTGTGAAGTTATCACTGAAGGAGTTGCTGAAACCTCTGAGACTCCTGTCTCCACCAGGCTTTTAGGATCCCATTGCAGCCTTTCTACGTTCATATTGCTCCCGATTCCAGCACCAGACTGTTTCTACCATAGGTATCTCCTGAGCCATTCTTGAGACGATGTTTTGATCCCATCAGAAATCTTGGTGTGTTAAACAAGTTAAAGTTCTTGGTAACAGATTATCTCCTACTGAGGTACCGCTTTTACTGTAGGTGTACTAAGCTGTGATTAAACTCTATTTTTAGGAGTTTCCCTTTTCTCCTCCAACAGGTACCTCTTCAATCTGTGTTAGCCTGAGTTAGGCTGTAATTCTGTATTGCTTTGTCTTTGCTTTTCATTTATTCCTTTCATTTGTTTTCAGGTGGATATATTTAACAGATCTACTCAACATAATTTCTTTCTCTTTGTACAGTCTGAGTACTTCGTCACTTTGAAAAAATTATTTCAGTATTTGCTTTTCCTCTGCCACAAATCGCAGTATGTCTGATGTGATTCACTCTTGCTTTCTCCTCCATCATCATGATGCAGTTTAGCCCCATTTATTGAGCTGTTAATGATGCAGTTTTGTAAATGAAAAAAATGAGTGGATTTTTCATAATTTAGCGTATGTGAAGATGTATTTAGATGGAAGAGAATTCTTTCTCCTTGCCTCTGTTATCTGTAGCACCAGCCAGGATAGTTTAAAAAAAAAGAGGTGAATTTAGAACTGAATTTTGTACAGCAAACAAGGTACAAATGAAGACTATGGTGTGGATAAGTCATCTGGACTTGTTAAAATCTGTGTGCTCCTTGAATATCTTAAAATATGTTAATGTAGCTGTGATGCTCAGACTGTTAAAGAAAAGTAAAGTTAATGATTGAGATGACAGAATGAGGAAGGGAGGTGTAGTCTCTTGAGAATTCAAACCTGAAAGAGATCTTGAAACAGATATTTTTTTGCTAGGGCAGGAGGCAAGGAAGTGCAGCAGAATGAGTACTTCTGTGAAATACATCTTGCTATGTGTAGGTTGATAACTGCAGAGTCCCAAAGCTCACCAAGCTAGCTGGAATTCTGGTATCTGTACATACTGATTCTGGAACAAATTCTGAATTGGACATACTTGTCCTTCATGAAACCAGTCTGACAGATTGGACTGCTTTATCTTGTATTGGTCAAAGTAACAAAATAGCTTGATGTGTAGAATGCAAATACTTGGGTGCAGCTTCGCTGTGAATCCTGTGTTGTTTTTCTAAATTTCCCAAGCAAGTGGTTCTAAAAAAAAAAAAAAAAAGGAAGAGAAAAAGCTTCCTTGAACTCATTTTCACCTAACCAGGAAATAATCTTTGTAAGTATTTGGTGTCTAACTACCGGAAATACAAATGCCTCCTAGAGTTGTAACCATGAAGTATGGATGGAGTCCGGGACGCAATTTTTTGTTCAGTTTTATACTGAAGTCTGTTGAAGTACAGATACTCTTACATCTCCACACATACTTAGATGGAGAGAGGCATTTTCTTACAAGATTATCTTGGTTTCATATAAGAAACAGCACTTGATAATTTGAACTTCTTTTCAAACATGCCATAAAAGTCCTCTGTTTAGCTTTACCCAACTGCTTTGAGACTAGGTAAAAAGGCATTTCCTGAGAAAACTGCACTACTCAGTCTGTTGGATTTTGGTGCTATTTGGAGACCATTGACAAGACTGCTGTTAGTGATGTGCACTAGACAGAAGTGATTTCACGTTGTGTGACTCATGGGAGTTGATCAGCTACTCATATGATACATCTCAGCATAAACAGACACAGAGAGAATGTCTCAGTACTGTGGGGGTTTAATAGAAAAGGAAAGGGGTAAAAATGGAAGTCTCACCGATGATAGTAGTAGCTTAACATGTTTTTGTTAAACCAAGACAAATAGGGGCTTGAGTTGAATAAAGACTATTCTGAGACAGGAAATTCCCACCTGATGCCTCATACATTGTTGCTTTTAACATTCCTGTTTGTGTTATGACACAAGAGCATCAGGAACAAAGGAAATGAGAGTTATTTATTGCAAAAGGTCTAAAAAAGCTTTCAGTATAGCTGATGAAAAAATAGGTCTTTGGGACTATTTTTGCATAATACAATTTTGGTATCTGGTTTACAACTGGATAGTGAAATTCTTTTCACCAAATATCAAGGCTGTATTAATTTCTTCAGTACTCATCTATACATGAAATTTGCATGACAAGTTTGTCTCCAACAGCCAAAAATTGCAGGATATGATTTATCAGTAATGTAAGCACCATACTTTAAAAACTGATTTTTCTCTGTGGTCTATGTGGAGCTGCGAGCCAACTGAAGCAGCATCCAAAATGACATAAAGAATACGGGTTTCTGTGCTCTGCAATATTGGAAAATTGCATGATACAGGAGTTGCTGTGTGGGAAAGGCCCATAGGACTGATCTGAGGTGACTGCATGTAACAAGGCGTTTGTTTAAAACACTTGGAGAGTGTTAAAGATGATTCAGTGTACATTCTTATCTGCTAGCTGTGGCTTTTGAAAGAAGAATTTCCACCCTGAGCAACTGAGCACTTTTTTCTGGGGGGTTGTAATTAGTAGTGTTTGCTAGTTGAAACCTAAATTTTTTTTAAGATCTGTAGCTGGTGGCTGAGGAGAGCATTAAGGGCTGCAACAGACTTTCACCTAAGTTTGGTAGCTTTGGAGCCCAGGGATCGCTCTGGAGCTGGGCAGAGGCCTGGGCTATTGGACTCCCAGTCTTGTCATTTATCCTTCCTCTCTCTTGGGGCTTCTGTCATGTTTTAATCCTGTCACTTGCTATGTCAAAATCCTCAAAGCTCTCTGCTTGGCAAGTGGGTCAGGATGGTCAAGATCAGACTTGCCTCTCTCCATTAGAATGAGACAATTCAGTTGTTTTTAATCTCATGTCCCACTTAAGAGGGTCATGGAATATAAGAATATGAAATTTTTTTTAAGTTTATGTTTCTGGCATTGCAGCTTGACAGAAACTCGAAGCTGCTTTTGCCTTTTCTGAGTTCCATTTGGTGCCTCCCAGGGAACACATCCAGTACAGACAATCTCTGGAGACCTTGACAGCACACACAGACTGTGTTGGGGAGGATAGTGATGGATTTTTGAGTGACTGGTTTTATTAATTTGCTTTTGGCCTGCCTTTCTAAGGGATTTTTTAAAACTTTGTTCAGTAACATGGATTTACAATGAGGAGCTGATTTACAATGAAAAATAATTCAGGACAGAGGATACCGTTTTTCAGCATTTCCATGGGACAGGAGAAAACAGTCCACACATCTGTGGTTGAGAACATATATGTGACATTTAGCTTGTAGGAATGTGTCTGCTATTATACAAGTTGATAAAGGCAGCCTACTGACTTCAATTCAGCATTTAGTTGATTTTAACATTTTGTTGTCTCTAGCAAGGGGTTGGATAAAAAATTACATTTTAATGTTCAACTACAGTAAGTCTGCAATTTAACTAATAAGATGAATACATTTCAGTGGAACCACTCAAAGTCAGATTTTTTGCGTACAGAGTGGATTCATAATTTCTTTGTTTTGCATTGCTAACAAAATTAAGAACTATAATCTGACAATTCAGAATCTGTGTGTCAGAATGAGGTAAAAATATAAATTAAATGCTTAAATAGTATCCACCTACTCATCGTGGATGTGCATTGGGTGTGAAATACTACACACCTAAACTCTGTGCTAGTAATGAAGTTAATGCTGAGTATCTTATAAATACTTGCCTATAAAGTAGCATAACTCTGTATTTACATTTAATCTCTACAATTGTTGATTAAAAAGTTAAATACATAACAAAACACCATTGCTGGAGAGGTCACGCTGCCAGTCAAACTCAAATGTGACTAAAATGTGTAAGTGTAATGCTATGGTTACTCTTTGTTTCAATTTTTTTTGACAGATACTTTCTCATTGTGGGAGTTGTATCAAGAAGTATATTGTCACTCCCAAAGTTCAATTTTAAACTGGTCTCTAACTGGCAGTGTTGGCATTTAACTTGAAATCACTTCTTTAAGTGGATATTCATGCAAGAGTGTAGGACTTATGCTTTCCAAAAGCATTCTGAAGACTAGTTTTGCAAACCAGAATGGTGTTACGCTGTGGGGGTTTTAACTTTTTTTTTTTTTTTAATTTTTCAGGTGGCAGAGATAAACGTGGAGGTCCCATTCTAACATTTCCAGCTCGTAGTAATCATGATAGAATACGGCAAGAAGATCTTAGAAGACTAATTTCATACCTAGCGTGTATTCCTAGGTAAGTGGTGGTCACTTGGTAAGCTCTGAAGCTATAAAACAAAATAAATGGATTATGTTGCAGTATACCCACAAGCTAGAAGACTGAGCAGGTTAAGAAAATGAACAAATTCATACCGAGCTCTGTCAGTTACTGTTTTCAGACTGCTTTTTTGGAAGAGACCTAAATAATTGCTCTGCCTTGTAGAAGGAAGGCTGTTGACGGGATGACTGGTGTGCTTTAGCTGGAAGTAGTTTTTGTGTCTTGGAAATGGTGCTGCCATGCCACACTTCTGTCACTGTGTTGAAGATTGCAAATACAACTCAAAGGCTTTCAGTACCTCAATAATCAGAAACATGCTGGTCATCATTCACAGTATGCCTTGTGTGGGCTGAGATCAGGACAACGCTCCTAACTGTTATTTGTGGTAGGTAAGTTACAGTGTCCTGATACAGCACAGGAATAACCAGGAGAGAGATACATAAAATTGCTTGTACAGGTCTCAGATAAAACTGTGGAGAGACGTGTGAAAGTATTGGTATCATTGTATTATCAACAATTTAAGCTATGATTTACAATATACTGTTTAAATAAATTGGCAGAACTAAAATCTAGCACTTGTGTGGTTTGTACATATAAAAATATTTATATAAGAAGTTTGTTCACATGAAACTTTTTTCCTAGTAGTAACTGAATTTGGGACAATAAGAACCTGATTTTAAGTCAATCTCAGAATCTGGCAACATTTGGTGCAATTCTGTGCTTGAATACATTTGCTTATGACCTCAAGGAGCAGTTGTCATTATAGTTGAAAAAAAATCCCTTGGACAACATCCCTGAAGGCAGTATCTTCTGTATTTCTGTAATGTGTTAATTTATAGGCACTCTTCTTTGCATCTGATGTAATCAGATGTTGGTTTCAGATTGACAAAAGTGCTTTCATGAAAATAACTTCAAGACATCTAGTTAAGTGTGTGCGTGGTCTTTCTTAAGAGCAATTGCTGTTCAATTATTCTGGTCTTTATTTCACCTTAAAGTGTAGGAGTGTTTAATATTATTATTTTGTTTGTTCACTTGTTAACAGGGGATTTTGGGGAGAAAGAGGAAGGAGGAGGGGAAGAAGTCTTAAGACTTTTACCTCTGAAATAATTCAACCTCACATTTGAATGTTTGACATGTATTCTAGTCCTCTAGAGCTTCAAGTTACTAGTGAAGTTAATAGATAAATATGCATCAAACTGTGCCCAGGAGATTTTTGTAGAGGTAATCTGGCAAAATACAGTGGTCCTCTAGCAAAAGGTGTAGGTTAGTTTAGCATCAATAGACTTAAAATAGAAAGTTAGTGCAGGTTCTTATGTCTCTGCAAGCATGGCAGAGCTTTGAGAATAAAGGGAACTTTATTAAAAGCAAGACTCACTTTCATACAAGTCATGTTTTGGGGACTGATCACACAACCCTTGCTAATTAAGAACTCCCAATTGATACAAATAGCCCCAAACAGTTGGTCTGTTGATTAGTTATTGCAGTGCTGTTACTCTAGACAGCTGAAGATTCAGAGGTGTCAGTTGTTTGCAAGAGATCCAAACAGTTAAGGTGACTCAGTCTCACAATTTTACTAATTTAATGATTTGTTTTAAAAATATTGCTAAATTTAAGTCATCAGTGCTGAGTGGACCAGGTGTTAGTGTAGTTCATGTTTACCTAACAGATGACCTTGGCTGACTAAAGCCTCTCAGAATAATTTTTGTGATCCTTGGCCGAAAGGGATTAATCCCTTGTCAGATGATGGAGCCACATGACACGAGAACACCTCTGCATTGTATCACATGATGAGGGGCTGCTTTGTACACCCCGGTAGATGTATGTGAATTAGTGGCAAGTACTCCTCCTCATGGAATGGTCAGTTTGTGTGGTAGGATAGGGATGAGCTGAGCAGCACTCGTGTAATAGTATACAGCCTTTCAATAATGAGTGTATCTTTAAAATGGTAGTTGTTTTTGTCCTGTGAGGCTGTTAGAAAACGTTTTCACCATGATCAGAAAATTGTACGTTGTAGCCTACATGTATTCCAAGCTAGTCAATTTCCATGTATTTTCCTACTACCATTGTCATTTTTGGCATTCCTATGGGCAGGTGGGACAGCCAGCATTTATCTTGATAAAATCCTTTTTTAAATGGTGTTTTTTCTTTTTTAAAACCTAACTTTAAAACCCCTCCTTCTCTAAGGAACCCATATTACCACTTCTTTTGGAAGCTCTTCTGCTCTCCTGCATCAATCATAACTCATCTTTCCACAATGTGGCCAATGAGATTATGTAAAGTATGCCAGTGAAGCTTCCCTACTTGTTGGACACTCCGAAAACCTCACCACATGAACTCCAGAATTGCATTTACATTAGTCACATCCCTGAAAGTGATTCATGTACTCAAACAATGGACATTTGGTGCCTTTTGATACTCCATTGGTATGACACGTTGCTTTTGAAATATTTTCCTTTTCCATGTTAACAAGGTCATGTAACAAATTCTTCTGGAACAAAATCAAAATTTCTGGTGTTGGTGGTGATTGCCGCTTTTGATCAGTGGCAAGCACTAAGTGTACAAAAGGTATTGATGAAAGGAAATTAAACCTGCCATTCTCAGAAGAGTTGCCAGAGAATTTGGGTCTAAGGTCTGTCGACTTTTGGACAGCAAAATTGAGCTCAGATTTTGTAGAAACAGGTTGATGCGGTTTTCTTCACAGCCATAAAATGCTTTCTTATCCATTAACTATCCACAAATCAATCCTGTTACACAAGGAATTGTCAATAAAGGGGGTTTTTTCCCCTCTACAGACTAACACTCTTTAACTGTCAGCTAATATGGGACTAGATCCAAGACAGTTTAAAAAAGTTGTACAAGTGGTAGGTAAGAACAATATGCCATCTTCTATCTTTTAGAGGATCCCCATAGTCATTAGAAAGGCATGAATATTCTTGTCAGTAAAATGTGTGCATGTTCTGAAGAGTCAATTGTAAATGAATTACCTATTGCTGTTCCAGTAAATGGTGTGTTTAACGTGTGTGTAAGGTGAAGGAGAAACAAGACTGGAAGATGAATCATCGTGAATATAAACAATGAAAATGAAAGAGGAGATAAAGGCAGATTATCAAATCAGCAACAGATGTAAAGCTATCACCCACAAGGAGTTTGGCAGGGGATGTGAGAGAAGCTTCCTGAGAGGTTCATGAGATCTGCTGTACGTGTCAGCTAGTCAACAGTGAGACCCTAGGGTGTGACGGTTAGCCGAGGAGATGATGTTCGTTAGGCAGTGTGGTGCAGTAGAGTGCTGTGTTTGAAGTTGTAATGCTTGCTTGATAACATTTTCTTCTTTCTTCTACAGTGAGGAAGTATGTAAACGAGGATTCACTGTCATTGTAGATATGCGTGGTTCAAAATGGGACTCCATAAAGCCTCTGCTGAAGATTTTACAGGAATCCTTTCCATGTTGTATTCATGTTGCACTGATAATCAAGCCAGACAATTTCTGGCAGAAGCAAAGGACTAACTTCGGCAGCTCTAAGTTTGAGTTTGAGGTAATTTCCCTTATGATATACAAATACTTGTTTATTTCATGGTGTTAAGTGTGCTCACTATTGATCAGCATCTTGAAAACCCTCATAATTTATGTTCTAGATGAGAGGAGGGGTACATTAGGCCAGTGGTGCTAGACGGAATGTGATTTTCTTCATGTACTGAGGCTAGGTAGTTGTGCATGTTGTCATTTCTGTTCTTTTTCTGAGTGTGGGAAAGATGGAATTAGGGTTTTACTCCTAATGGTAAAAAGTTAGGTTTCATCCATTTGTTGTCTTATTCTGCATTGTGGTAATCGTGATATTACCAGCATCCTGTGCAGAGGAAAGCAGCCAACTGAAACTCGCTGTTATCCTCCTGCTGCTTTACAATACACAAAGTCAAAACTTAAAACAGTAGTTGAAAGAGTGGTTGCTGTTTTCTACTTAAGTGTGGTGAGGTAAGAAAGAAATAAAATATTTCTCTCATTTGGGGAAACACCTGCAAGACAGGAGACGAATCAGAACTGATATTTGAAAAGAAGTGTATGAGAAAAGTTAAGTCACGTGGACTTCATGACCAAAATGATCAACTCTTAGGAGAAAAACAAACACTTAAAGAAAATTTCAAGTTCATTTCAGTAACAGCATTTTTTATTTTTCATTTTTATTTTTAGACAAATATGGTGTCTCTGGAAGGCCTTACCAAAGTAGTTGATCCTTCTCAGCTAACCCCAGAATTTGATGGCTGTTTGGAGTACAACCATGAGGAGTGGATAGAAATCAGAGTTGCCTTTGAGGACTACATTAGCAATGCAACCCATATGCTGTCCAGACTGGAGGAACTGCAAGATATATTGTCAAAAAAGGAAATGCCTCAGGACCTGGAAGGTGCTCGCAATATGATAGAGGAGCATTCACAATTAAAAAAGAAAGTCATTAAGGCCCCTATTGAGGACCTTGATGTGGAAGGACAAAAGCTGCTCCAGCGGATACAGAGCAGTGATAGCTTCCCCAAAAAGAACTCTGGGTCAGGGAATGCGGACTTACAGAACCTCTTACCCAAAGTATCCACCATGCTGGACAGGCTGCACTCAACACGGCAGCATCTGCATCAGATGTGGCATGTGCGGAAATTGAAATTGGACCAATGTTTTCAGCTCCGGCTGTTTGAGCAGGATGCTGAAAAGGTGAGTAATTGGGGGAGGGGAGTATAAATGGGTGCTGCTGTTGATGAGAACAAAGCTTGACAGACTTGAAAGAAGTACCAAGGATAACTGCAAATAGTAATTTTTGTCTTTAGAGTTAATCACTAGTCTTTTAATGAGAAATAAAGGATTTCTTGATTGAGAGTGACTCTTAGTTTCTGGAGTAAAGGAGTTGGGGTAGTAATTCTAACCTGTAAAGAACATAGGTAGCTGTCACCAAAGTGCTAGTAACTTTAAAGCTTTTGCTTTGATAAGTTTTTGTTCCAGACAGATGCTTTTGCGTGCATCTCAGATGAGGATGAATGCTGTGTACTTTATAAATACAGATGACTACATTGGTCTGCTTTTGAGTGACCCTTGGGATTTGAGTGACAGGTAGTTGACAAAGTCTGAAGAGGCTGACATGGGGAACTGCTTCATTTGATGCAGGATTTAAAATCCCAGGCTAAAAACTGATGTATTTCTTTTGACAGTGCATATGTCATTATCAGGGGAGTGAGTGATCTCATAATGTTTTGGGCTAACCAGTCCCTTTGAATGAGAAAGCCCTTGATTATCATGGAATTTGAAGAGGAAATATGGCAAGCAATGCCCTTTTAGATGAGCTCAAAGAAGATCTATTTTCGTATAGAATGGTTTTGCAATCACTTATTATTAACTTGTTACCATGGAACAAATAGCTTTAAGGAAGGGTGGGGAGTTTTTCTCCAGGAGAAGTAGAAACTAGACTTTGCAGTCAAGTGGTAAGTATGGTCTTTGTCAAGTTTCTTAAAATAATTCATGTAAGAATGCCTGAACTGGGTGAGACCAAAGGTCTGTGTTAAACCAATATCCTGCTCTCCAGCAGTGGTCATAAGCAGATGCATGGGGAAGAGTAAAAACAGATCAAACATATATAATACTTCTTCTTCCTCCTTCCTCTGTTTTCTTCCCTCGTAATTTCCCTTACCCTGATCATTTCAGCTCAGGGACTTTCTTTACAGTACTCTTAATGTTTTCTGCTGTGTTTAAAAAAGAAGTCATTTTTTAAAAGTACCATGTAAAGTAAGTGTTTACTAAATGGGTGGAGCTAAAAATAGTAGAGGCATGTAAAGAGTTGAAAAAAATCTGGTCAAGTGAATTATAAAATTATTTAGAAAATAACAAGCTGTTGGTCTAGTATTGCTCTTTCAACCCCTTAGGTTGCTTTTTAGCAACCTTTCAGCCACTTGATTACAACATTAATTACTCTTTATTACAACATGAACAAAATGTATTTTGATGATGCTCACATGGTATTGAAAGATACATTCTTCATTTATTCATCTGAATGTTGAGCTTTAAGAAACTCATTGTGAAATACTTGAGCCTGTGGGATTGATCTCTGTCCTGCCATGTGGTTCCATAAGCTCCTATCTCTGTTTTCTAGGTTCCCGATTCCATGAATAAGTCTATATTAAAGTAATGCATCTTTCTTTCAAAATAGCAGGAAATGTTAGGCTCCTCAAAATGGGGCTGACAGCAGCTAGCATACCTGGGACTTTATTGTCTCATCAACCATTAGAGAAAGATTAAAAAGAAGGTTTCTGTAGTATCTCAACTCACTTTTGGATTAAGGCCCTCTCCTTAATCTGCTTGCAGCCCTTATTTGACTGTTTATGTCAGATTAGATTTCGTAGCTCTGGGCTTCTTTACCAGTGTAGATTTCTATGGTTTAGTTAGGTGCAGGAAAGGGCTGGATCTTTGTTGGAAAAATAAAGTGTATTGGATGGGGAGGAATAAACATGTTCATTTTAGAGGACTTGCACAACTCTTTGCACAAGGAATCTGGGCTGGTTCAGGAGAAGGCAAAAAAGGGGTGAGGTGGGAGGGAATCTGGTTGGAATTGCCCTGAAGGTATCTGAAGGCAGCAAGTCTGACTACTTAGAGAAAGGTGGTCACAAGCAGGACCAGTGTCTATTTGGAATAATGTTCTAAGACATCTTCACTGTAATCTAGATAAGAAACTGAACATTTTAGCGCTCTCAGTTGTCTAAGCTCTTAAAACTTTTTTTTTTGTTTATAATCCTTACTATATTGTGGTCTACTTATAATTTGATTTGTCATATACCTGGGTGGAATAATGGATTTGATAATATTGCTCTGTTAGCCAGCATATGTTAAAAGATCTTTAAATGAGTACTTACTGCTCATTGCTACCATTTTCTTTCTGAACAGTCTTTTTCAATTTATCACGAGAGTAGGTGGGTTTTTTGAGCTGAAATATAGCAAAGATTTCAAGACCATTGCAGGAGGGTGGGGTGTTAAACTTAGCCTTTTGCCATGTTGCTTGGTCTTTGAAAACTTAGTCTTCCAGTGCTACTGTTAACATACCTATGTACCTCCATTGATGGTCGTTGTCGGATAGTCTTTCCTAAAATTTGTTTGAATATTAAAATACTTTAAAAAAACAAAAGAAAACAAACAACCCACCAAAAAAACCCCACCAAAACCAAATGACAACATATTTAAAGATTATCCTTAAACTTGTCCTGAAGAAGGTAATGCGTAACTCTGTGCTCAACTATATTTTTTAAATTGTTTAGCAATAGAAAAGTTGTTTTCAAATCTGCTATAAAGTTATGAACTAAAAATATTGAACTTGATCAGCAAGAATGATCAGCATGAATTTATATTTAATTTCCATGAGTTGCCATTTTCATTCTAAATTACTAAGCTGCTGACATCATGAAATGCTAACACTAGAGAACATACAAGCTTGCTAACTCAGGGCTGTGCTCCAAGCCTGTTTGTTTACTATGATTTCTTTGTAGTAATGAAGTGTATGACTCTATGACTTTACTGTAGCTTGTTGAGATAAACACCTGTAGTAAAGATTTAACAGCCTCAGCTGTTTGGTCCAAAAAGTAAGATTTCAGCAATGATTTGGTTAAAATATACGGTAACTTGTCATGGAAGGAGCATCAGTGTTAATATTCATGGCCTCAGATTCTTTCTGTCTTCTGTGTTCACGAATTTCTCACATTACTTGTCTGTGATTTCTGCCATAACAAATTACTGATTTTTTTCTTTTCTTTCCTTAATATTTTCTTGTAGATGTTTGACTGGATCACACACAACAAAGGTCTGTTTCTGAACAGCTACACAGAGATTGGAACCAGTCACCCCCACGCAATGGAGCTTCAGACACAGCACAATCACTTTGCCATGAACTGTATGGTAAGAACAGGCCTCACTTCGCAGCACCGACATGTTGTCTATTTGCTCTATGTTAAGGTAGAATTCATAAATAATACACACAAATCTTTCCTTCTGTTACAAGTAGTGCAAATTTGTATTTGAGCAGTGAAATTATAAAACACAAGTAGCCAAGTACAGAGGTACTGTGATCAAGCAACAAAATTATTTTGACCAGTGGCAGTATTCAACACAACCTCAGCATTTCTCAAATATAAGCATCCAAACTTCTAGAACCTGGGATGTATGTTTGAGTTTTGTAGGAAATTTCAGAGAATCATGTGTAATACGGAATTTAGTGTTCCATATGGAAAGAAAGAGCTCTCAGGATCTTCTGAATAGATTGCAACTCAGACAAAAAGTTCTGAGAAGTAGTGATCAACAGCTGAGCCTGGTGTAATAATTTTCCATATTTTTAAGACGACTCACTTCTGGCATGGTGGAATGAAACTAAAACAATAATTTTTTTGTCAAATGTCATCTTAGGATGAGCTATCAGTAGGCTGCAATTAGAAATTTGGCTTTTAACTGGCAGTGGGTGAAAGTTGCTTATTTTCAGTTTCGTGGATTCCTGTTTGAACATGGGGACTAAATTCTCAATTACATTTTAAGTTCTTTTCACTAGGAGTATTGGAGATGTTTAAATAACTTTGGGAGTCTGGGCCTAAATCCAGTCCCTGGCTGTCAGCTCAGTGAAGGAAGAACACTACCAGTCTTGTTAGAAATTAACATCCTTGGCAGTCCACTTGATGGGGAAGTGAATTAAAGTATGGATGAGACAATCAACTCCTGTAAGAGGGTGTTTTTGTGGGACAGTACTGCTAATTGTGGAAAGAGAGAGTGGCAAAGTAAACTTACCTAGGTTATGCGTCTTGCTGAAATAATGGCAGGACTAATAAGGCAGCATTTGTGCGTGGTATACCTAGAGTTAAGGCAATAGAAGACACGAGTAGAGAGGGTACACTTTCTTTAGCAACTCAGCTATGTTTGCAAAAGTTTAAAAAAATAAAAATCAATACGAACTTTTTGAAAAGAGTGAAGCAAATGCTGTGGAGCACTGTAATTAAGTTAAATAACAGCATATATGGATGTAACTTTGACCATTATGTTTGGAAGGGATAGGTTCACTCCCCGGGCAAGGGGAATTGCTCTTTTATGAAATACGTCATTGTTGTTGCTCATTGCTCTGCATATGAAGTAGAACAGAAAAGAACTCACAGGACAGTAGGTGTCATTGACATGAGATAAATTTTGGAACTTAGTAATTTTGTATGGCCTTCCAGGCAATTCTTGGGCTTGTACTCTAAAGGTTAAATTCTTCTTCTGTCAGCCTGTGCTGGTATTAGTCATTGGTGTCCTCTTTTCTTCAAACTGGATGACCTTTTTGTTTTTTTCCTTACTTCCATACTGTTCAGGTGGTATCAACAGTAGGAAGCACTTGAGCAATGTAATATTCCCTCCAGCTCTGTTTTTGCTGTTAGTCTTTTGCTGTTAATCTCTGTTTTGCCTGTAGTAGTCAAACGCATTAATTACAGAGGACTTTTTCTCAGCCTGTGCAATGATTTGTAGAAGCATGCAAGGAGCAGCTTAAATTTGGCGCAAATTAAACAGTCCAAACATTCAAGAGAGGAAAAATAAGCTGCAGTTTTTCAAAGTGTTTCTGTAGCCTAGCCCCCCAAAAGAGTGGTTCTTCCCACAGAATAGGAAAATACAAATTCAAAACAATCAGTCCCTGGTTTTGATTTAAGCAGCATTCAGATTTTCTGGGTTTTATTTGGTTAAATGGCAAAAGCCTTACATGTAGATTAGGGGGAAAGATTAAACTGAATGTGACATAAAAAAATGACGTGGACTGATTGAATTTTGGCAGGCCTTATTTTTCATTGGCTTTTAACTGGAAAAATGGCGGGCAATCTTAACTCCTGCAAGCATGTTCAGCTTCTCCCTTTCTTCACATACACTCTGTGCTTAACAATTCACATAACACACTGTGCTTAACAAGCTACTATTTGTTCACTGTTCCTGTCAGTGTAACTCTTCAGTAATCAGAGTTGATTTAAGATCTCTTATGTGAATGATCTAACACTAGAGATGGAATTTAACTTTTAACCCATCTACAACCATGCAAATTTATTCAATTGGATGGGGTAGAGGAAGGAA